AGGCCGGGGGGGGCAGGGGGGGAGCAGGGGGGGGCAGGGGGGGAGCAGGGGGGGGAGCAGGGGGGGCAGGGGGGGGAGTAGGGGGGGAGAGCAGGGGGGGAGCAGGGGGGGAGCAGGGAGGGGGGGAGCAGGGGGTGGGGAGCAAGGAGGATGTTTCCCCTAAGCGAGCGCAAATTGTCAAATGAGCAATCGCCCGCACTGAGCGTTTGCCGCTCCTCTATCAGATTCTTAAAAGGATACATTTCCTTCATTAGGAGCCAAATCGCGGTAATTACCAATCTCCTAAGCGCTCCCCCCCCCGCTCCTCCCGCACGTACCGCCCCCCACTCTGCATCTCCCCCCACTCTGCATCTCCCCCGTCCATCCCCCACGCTTCCCCCCACCCTCTCCACCGCCCCCCCAGTGGACCGTAAAGCGAGGGGATGGAGGCGGTGCGGTGCTAATGGTTCCGCTAAATTCAATAACTGCGGCAACGTGAGGGCGTGTGGATGTACGCGCGCGTGCACTGGCGCGCGCGTGTCTGCGTGTGGGTGTGTTCGCGTGGCGAGCGGTGGCGCAGCGGTTAGCGCACTGCGTGTGAGTGGAGGAGCGGTGGCGCGGTGGTTAGCGCACTGTGTGTGTGTGTGGTGGGGGGGGGGGGTGCGTAGTTCGCGCACTGAGCTACGAAAATCTGGCGACCCAAGTTCGATTCCCACTCACAGTCACGAACACCAGCGACGATTATCTGAACAACTTCTAGGTCGACTCAGCCCTCAAACGATGAACTGGGGAGACAAAGACGGCCGGCCGCGGTGTTGCTGGAGACCCACGGCCGGCCTTCATGCGCCCTCCTACTAGCTCACAGCACTTGCCTCAGCAGTCTGTGGGAAGGCTGCAGAGGCGGTGGAGGGGGGATCTTTGTCTTGGTGTGTCAGTGTGCGTGAAGCAATGTGCGTTCTAGCTACGCACGCCCCCCCTCACCCCCCCATCCCTCGCTCAATCCTCCCCTCCCTCCCCCTAAACTCCTCCCCCCGGCACCCCCCCCCCCCCAAGCTCCTCCTCTCTCCCTCCCTCTCCTCCCTCCTCATCATAATTTAGAATGTACAGAGCTCTCCCTCCTCTCTTGTCCGTCTCCCGACCCACTCACTCACTCGTCCCCCGCTACACCCACCCACCCACCCCAGCATTCTTCATTTCTATACCACACCCCCAGTGCCCCCCCCCCCATCCCCCACCCCCTGTGCCCCCCCTCCCACACCCCCCCCCCCCCGGGAGGCTGTAGGGTGGGGTGGGGGCCCCATTAGTATTCTGATTCTATAATCTCTTAATCAGCTGCCACGCTAGATCTGCTTATGTCAGGAGCTCTGTAATCTCACTGGGGGATTTTTTTTGATCGGAGGCAGCGGCGCCTGCCTCGGTTGCCTTGTTTGGTCGGGGTGACGATCACGGCTGTGCGTAACGTAGCGTCGCGTGTGTGCGTGTGTGGGTGCGTGTGTGTGTGTAGTAGTAGTAGGTAGTAGGGTGTGTGTCTTGTCGATGTGTGTAGTAGGGTGTGTGTGTTGTCTGTGTGTGTAGTAGGGTGTATGTGTTGTGTATGTGTGTAGTAGGGTGTATGTGTTGTGTGTGTAGTAGGGTGTATGTGTTGTCTCTGTGTGTAGTATGGTGTATGTGTTGTGTGTGTAGTAGGGTGTATGTGTTGTGTGTGTAGTAGGGTGTGTGTGTTGTCTGTGTGTGTAGTAGGGTGTATGTGTTGTGTGTGTGTGTAGTATGGTGTATGGGTTGTGTGTGTAGTAGGGTGTATGTGTTGTGTGTGTAGTAGGGTGTGTGTGTTGTCTGTGTGTGTAGTAGAGTGTATGTGTTGTGTATGTGTGTAGTAGGGTGTATGTGTTGTGTGTGTAGTAGGGTGTATGTGTTGTGTGTGTGTGTAGTAGGGTGTATGTGTTGTGTGTGTGTGTAGTAGGGTGTGTGTGTTGTCTATGTGTGTAGTCGGGTGTATGTGTTGTCTGTGTGTGTAGTAGGGTGTATGTGTTTTGTGTGTGTGTAGAAGGGTGTATGTGTTGTGTGTGTGTATTAGGGTGTATGTGTTGTGTGTGTAGTAGGGTGTATGTGTTGTGTGTGGGTAGTAGGGTGTATGTGTTGTGTATGTGTAGTAGGCTGTATGTGTTGTGTGTGTAGTAGGGTGTATGTGTTGTGTGTGTAGTAGGGTGTGTGTGTTGTCTGTGTGTGTAGTAGGGTGTATGTGTTGTCTGTGTGTGTAGTAGGGTGTATGTGTTGTGTGTGTAGTAGTAGGGTGTATGTGTTATGTGTGTGTGTAGTAGGGTGTGTGTGTTGTCTATGTGTGTAGTCGGGTGTATGTGTTGTCTATGTGTGTAGTATGGTGTATGTGTTGTGTGTGTGTGTAGTAGAGTGTATGTGGTATGCATGTGTGTAATAGGGTGTATGTGTTGTCTGTGTGTATTAGGGTGTATGTGGTGTGTGTGTGTGTGCAGTAGGGTGTATGTGTTGTGTGTGCGTGTAGTAGGGTGTATGTGTTATGTGTGTGTGTAGTAGGGTGTATGTGTTGTGTGTGTAGTATGGTGTATGTGTTATGTGTGTGTAGTAGGGTGTATGTGTTGTGTATGTGTGTAGTAGTAGGGTGTATGTGTTATCTGTGTGCGTAGTAGGGTGTATGTATTATGTGTGTGTAGTAGGGTGTGTGTGTTGTCTGTGTGTGTAGTAGAGTGTGTGTAGTAGGGGGTATGTGTTGTGTGTGTGTAGTAGGGTGTATGTATTATGTGTGTGTAGTATGGTGTGTGTGTTGTCTGTGTGTGTAGTAAGGTGTATGTGTTGTCTGTGTGTGTAGTAGGGTGTATGTGTTGTGTGTGTAGTAGGGTGTATGTGTTGTCTGTTTGTAGTAGGGTGTATGTGTTGTGTGTGTAGTAGGCTGTTCGTGTTATCTGTGTGTGTAGTAGGGTGTATGCGTTGTGTGTGTGTGTAGTAGGGTGTATGTGTTATGTATGTGTGTAGTAGGGTGTATGTGTTGTGTGTGTGTAGTAGGGTGTATGTGTTGTCTGTGTGTGTAGTAGGATGTGTGTGTTGTGTGTGTTTAGTAGGGTGTATGTGTTGTCTGTTTGTGTAGTAGGGTGTTTGTGTTGTGTATGTGTGTAGTAGGGTGTATGTGTTGTGTGTGTGTAGTAGGGTGTATGTGGTATCTGTGTGTGTTCTATGGTGTACGTATTGTGTATGTGTGTGGTAGGGTGTATGTGTTATGCATGTGTTTGTGTAAAGTATAGTCAACATGTTAGCTATATATTGTGTGAATAGGAGTTGGATATGCGTTATCTCTGTGTATGTGAATAGTAGTGTATGTATTATCTATGTGTGTGTTTTGTTATGCATGCGATGGTGTATATATTACACCTTAGTGCATCGCTGTGCCATTACAGTAAAGGCGTTAACTCTGTGCCGTGTATGAAACACGGCCACTGGGGAGACAAAGGCGGCCGGGCGTGGTGCTGGCCACCCACCCCCTCGTGCGCCGTGCCGCCCTTCATCGGCGCTACTCGTTAACAGCACTTGCCCCAACAGTCTGAAGGCTATTCTTGGGGGGTGGGGGTCTTTGTCTTCGTGTCTTTTTTAAACGTTTGTTTATAAGTTAGATTCGCGTGGTTTTGCGGTGCATAGTTAGCTTCGTCCGATTTTGTTTCATGTTGTTGCCGAAACGCGGCGATCATCATCATCGTCGCCGTGATAGATTATTGTGTAGCACGGTTGCCTACGTACGGTGCGAAAGAAGTCCGGCATACATCATCATCACCGATCATCGCCATCGTCAGCGGTAGAACATCGACGGGACGATTCAATCCATCAGCGCGTGCTTGATGAGCGCTGATGGTGGATGCTGCTGCTCTTCTTCTTCTGAGTGTGGCCGACCCGTGGGCACGTGTGGATCTGTGGGCACGAGCCGTGGGCACGTGTGGAGCTGGGGGCACGAGCCGTGGGCACGTGTGGAGCTGTGGGCACGAGCCGTGGGCACGTGTGGATCTGTGAGCTCGAGCCGTGGGCACGTGTGGCTCTGCGAGCTCGAGGCGTGGGCACGTGTGGATCTGTGGCTCGAGCCGTGGGCACGTGTGGATCTGTGGGCACGAGCCGTGGGCACGTGTGGAGCTGTGGGTACGAGCCGTGGGCACGTGTGGAGCTGGGGGCACGAGCCGTGGGCACGTGTGGAGCTGTGGGCACGAGCCGTGGGCACGTGTGGATCTGTGGGCTCGAGCCGTGGGCACGTGTGGATCTGTGGCTCGAGCCGTGGGCACGTGTGGATCTGTGGGCACGAGCCGTGGGCACGTGTGGAGCTGTGGGCACGAGCCATGGGCACGTGTGGAGCTGTGGGCACGAGCCGTGGGCACGTGTGGATCTGTGGGCTCGAGCCGTGGGCACGTGTGGATCTGTGGCTCGAGCCGTGGGCACGTGTGGATCTGTGGGCACGAGCCGTGGGCACGTGTGGAGCTGTGGGCACGAGCCATGGGCACGTGTGGAGCTGGGGGCACGAGCCGTGGGCACGTGTGGAGCTGTGGGCACGAGCCGCTGCGTTGCCCCACTGGGATTGTGATCGTCTGGCGATCTGTTCGTTGGGGCTGCTGCGTTGGCAGCGGTGCATACAACCAGCAAGCACCGACAACAGACGATAACGCAAACCACTCTGCGTGTCAACGACAAGCACAATGTGCGTGGCTTTTAACGGAAAACAGAGTGGGGCTATGAAGAAGGGGCCATTGCCCCAAACCTCGCCTATTGTGTGTTTCCTCTCCCCTTAAAAGCCACACACATTGTTAGTTGTTACCAAACGCGTTGAGTGTCTACTTCAAGCTTATGTTTGTCCGTTTGGCCTCGATGATTCTTCATTTGGTCTCACGGATTGGTGGAGGCTGTCATCATCCAGCAGTGGATTGAACGTGTGGCTGGTGCTGCTGTTACAGCTGCCGTGTGGCTTGGTGGTGGTGATGATGGTGGTGATGATGGTGGTGATGATGGTGATGTGTTGCTAACGTTGAGGCCGTCTCACCGAGCACACTACCTTGGAGTGTGCTCGGTGAGACGGGAGGGCAGGAGGAGGTGGAGAGAAAAGAGGAAGCGGAGAGCATGAGGAGGGTAGGAGTAGGAGGATAAAGAGAAAGCTGATGAAGAAGAAGATAATGACGAGGTGGTGGAGTTGGAGGGTGGATGCCATCTCGACTAACTGTCAACTCGTCTCTTCTCGTTCACAGCGCCTCTTCCACCCGGGGGAGGCCGTGCTGGGGAGCGGCTCGCGAGGCGATGTAGGGGGCAGGAGCCCCCCCCCACTACCACCACCACCACCACCACCTACCCCCTCTCTCTGTCGAGGTGAGCGAGAAGGCGGTAAACATCGACTGAGTACGCACGCAAGTACCGCTAACTCACACGTACCACGCGTTGTACCGCTAACTCACGTATCCCACGCGCGTACCGCGCACTCACGTGTGCCAAGCGTGTACTGCGCACTGACACGTATCCCACACACATGTGCCAAGCGTGTACTGCGCACTGACACGTATCCCACACGCGTACTGCATACTCACACGTGTCACACGCGTGACGTGCACTCACAGGTACCACACCTGCCTTGCGCACTGACACGGATACCACACGTACCATACAGATAGTCGTTACTGGTTTGGCTGTGAGCAGGAATCGAACTCGGGTTGCCGGATTCGTAGCGCTGCACCATCGCTCCCCATGCACGTACCACACGCATAGCACACACGCATAGCACACACGCATAGCACACGCAGATAACCTCTGATTAGCACGGTTGGCTGAGTACGGTGCGAAAGAAGTTCAACATGCACACGCACAGCACACGCATACCACACATACGCAAGCATGCCACACTCCCACACAAACAAAGACAAAGATCCCCTGTATAGCCTTAACAGGCTGTTGGGGCGAGTGCTGTTAGCAAGCACCTAAGGCCAGCAAGGCATAAGAGGGGGTGGGTGGCCAACACCACTCCCGTCCGCCTTTGTCTCCCTAGTGGCGATGTTTACACATTACACCAGGTACTCATTTCAGGCTGAGTCGACCTACGGGAGGCCCAGGACCGGTTCAGATAATCGTCACTGGTGTTGGTCGTGAGCGGGAATCGAACCAGGGTCGCCAGGTTCGTCGCGCAACGCGCTACAGTTCCCCACCCACACACACAGAAACACACACAGACACACACACGGAGACACACACAGACACACACACACTATACACACACACACGGAGACACACACAGACACACACACTGTACACCCACACACACGGAAACACACACAGACACACACACGGAGACACACACAGACACACACACGGAGACACACACAGACACACACACTATACACTCACACACGGAAACACACACAGACACACACACACTATACACTCACACACGGAAACACACACAGACACACACGGAAACACACACAGACACACACACAGACACACACACGGAGACACACACAGACACACACACTATACACTCACACACGGAGACACACACAGACACACACACACCACACACCCACACGCAGACAAAGATACCCCGTATATCGTTAACGGACTGTAGGAGCAAGTGCTGTGAGCGAGCATTTGCATAGTACACTCACATACGCGTACCACGACACTCACATACCACACACTCACACACACATACCACACCACTCACACACATATACCACACACTCACCCACGCGTACCACACACTCATACACACATACCACCAGCTACTAATTTTAAGGCTGAGTCGACCTATGGGAGGCCCAGAACTGGTTCAAATATTATAGCAATGGACGTGAACAGGAATCGAACTCGCGACACTACACTACCGCTCCCCATCACAGGCACGCACTCGCTTATACACACACGCACTTGCACTTGCACGCACAAATACACGTGCTTGCACAAACACACACGTGCTTGTACACACACAAACACACCTACTTGTACACACACACACATGTACACGTGCTTGCACACTCACGCAAATCCGCATAATTAATGCATCTCTATGGATGATCGGTGATGATGGTGAATACGTTATTAAACCAAAACACTATGATATTGTACACCATACAGTGAGGGAAAAAAATATTTTATCCCCTGCTGATTTTGTACGTTTGCCCACTGACAAAGAAATGATCAGTCTTTAATTTAAATGGTAGGGTTATTTGAATAGTGAGAGACAGAATAACAACAAAAAATCCAGAAAAACGCATGTCAAAAATGCTATAAATTGATTTGCATTTTAATGAGGGAAATAAGTATTTGACCCCTCTGCAAAACATGACTTAGTACTTGGTGGCAAAACCCTTGTTGGCAATCACAGAGGTCAGACGTTTCTTGTAGTTGGCCACCAGGTTTGCACACATCTCAGGAGGGATTTTGTCCCACTCCTCTTTGCAGATATTCTCCAAGTCATTAAGGTTTCGAGGCTGACGTTTGGCAACTCGAACCTTCAGCTCCCTCCACATTTTCTATAGGATTAAGGTCTGGAGACTGGCTAGGCAACTCCAGGACCTTAATGTGATTCTTGAGCCACTCCTTTGTTGCCTTGGCCGTGTGTTTTGGGTCATTGTCATGCTGGAATACCCATCCACAACCCATTTTCAATGCCCTGGCTGAGGGAAGGAGGTTCTCACCCAAGATTTGACGGTACATGGACCCGTCCATCGTCCCTTTGATGCGGTGAAGTTGTCCTGTCCCCTTAGCAGAAAAAAACACCCCCAAAGCATAATGTTTCCACCTCCATGGTTGACGGTGGGGATGGTGTTCTTGGGGTCATAGGCAGCATTCCTCCTCCTCCAAACACGGCGGGTTGAGTTGATGCCAAAGAGCTCCATTTTGGTCTCATCTGACCACTACACTTTCACCCAGTTGTTCTCTGAATCATTCGGATGTTCATTGGCAAACTTCAGATGGGCATGTATATGTGCTTTCTTGAGCCGGGGGACCTTGCAGGCGCTGCAGGATTTCAGTCCTTTACGGCGTAGTGTGTTACCAATTGTTTTCTTGGTGACTATGGTCCCAGCTGATTCCTCACCGTTCTCATGATCATTGCAACTCCACGAGGTGAGAACTTGCATGGAGCCCCAGGCCGAGGGAGATTGACAGTTCTTTTGTGTTTCTTCCATTTGCGAATAATCGCACCAACTGTTGTCACCTTCTCACCAAGCTGCATGGCAATGGTCTTGTAGCCCATTCCAGCCTTGTGTTGGTCTACAATCTTGTCCCTGACATTTTTGGAGCGCTCTTTGGTCTTGGCCATGGTGGAGAGTTTGGAATCTGATTGATTGATTGCTTCTGTGGACAGGTGCCTTTTATACAGGTAACAAGCTGAAATTACGAGCACTCCCTTTAAGAGTGTGCTCCTAATCTCAGCTCGTTACCTGTATAAAAGACACCTGGGAGCCAGAAATCTTTCTGATTGAGAGGGGGTCAAATACCTATTTCCCTCATTAAAATGCAAATCAATTGATAATATTTTTGACATGCGTTTTTCTGGATTTTTTGTTGTTGTTATTCTGTCTCTCACTGTTCAAATAAACCTACCATTAAAATTATAGACTGATCATTTCTTTGTCAGTGGGCGAACGTACAAAATCAGCAAGGGATCAAATACTTTTTTCACTCACTGTATATAGCAACATATACACCGTGTTACGACATTACCACAACCCATGGTGAGTCGGATGTGTATACCAGTGGCAGAGGTATTGTGACGTTTTTGTTTGTATCACCGTATTTGCCGAATTATAAGACGCACCCCAACACTCGTGCCCGGTGTCAATACTGGACCTCTGTGAAAAGAGCTTCATAGCTCATCGGATTCCTCCAATCTAAATCAATATTCTGACTCTGACATGAATATTTTCACACTAAATAAACAAAAATTCCCCGCGTGTAGCCTTTACCGGACCGTTGGGGCAAGTGCTGTGAAGTCCGACACACGGTCCACTTTACTGGTAGCTTCTTCGATTCGTCGTTTGCTCCGAAAAAGGGCTATTGCCCGAAGCGTCGTTTCATATACACGTGCATTCCTTGTATCTGTGAATTTTCACAGCGGGCGGAGCTTCCAACTCGCAAATTGGAAAGTCACAAATTCCCACCCAGGCGACGGGGGTCGACTGAGCCCATCATCCCTCCTGATGGGGTGGGTCGATAAAATGAGTAGCACTGGAGAGCCTCGCTTCCGCCATGGGAATGTGGAATCTCCACTGCTGTAAACGTTGGCGTCTGAGCACCAATACCTCAATTCTCATCGGGAACATAACCCAACAAAAAACCATGCTGGCTTCACGCCCAGCCTCAGATTTTAAAACACGGGGGCGGGGAAGTGGCTTGTGCGTCTTATAATCCGCAAGAAAACACGTGAACATCTCCAAATCGGCTTGCACCCCCCCTTACCCCCATTTATAGTGTTTATTTATTAATTAAAGCATGAATGCGTCGCCGCGTTCCTATACGCTGATGTAAGTGGCACAATGGGAAGCCCTGTTGTTGTTGCTGCTGCTGCTGCTGCTACCGCTACCGCGATTCATTCCTCTTTTGTTGAAACGGAGCGGGGATTCGCAACGACTGTGGAGCGATGCGCGCCACAACCTGCGAGAGCTGAACGCACAACAAAGCCCCCCCCCCCCACGCCACCACCACCTCACCAACCCCCCGTATATAATAATATAATAGAGACCGCCGTTTAAGGGGCAAAAGGCACCTTTTTGAACGGTGCTGGAGTGTCGCGAGTGGTGTAGGCAGCATCGTGCCCCACGATATACAAACACAAATATCTCTCTCCCCCTCCCCCCCGTATAGGCTGTGGGGGGCGAGTAACATCTTTGAAGGACGGAACGGGACACGAGGGGGGTGGGCGGTGGTTGGTCAAGAACCAGGCCCGGCCGTCTTTGTCTCCCCTGCGTGGCAAAGTTTGATACGTCGCATCAGGCATACTCATGTTTAAGGCCGAGTCGACCTAGGGGAGGCCCAGCAACGGTTCGGCAGATAATCGTCGTCGCCAGTGTTAGCCACGAGTGGGAATAGTGCAGTGCGCTAACCACTGCACCATGGCTCACCGTAGACACACACACGGCATACAAAGACAAAGACATTCCATTATAGCCTCAACAGACTGTTGGGGCACGTGCTGTTAGCGAGCACCTATGAAGGCCGGCACGGCGCACGAGTGCGGGGTGGGTGACCAGCACCACGCGCGGCCGCCTTTGTCTCGCCAGTGGAGATGTTTACTCACCGCTTCGGCAGATACACACCCAGACAGACAGACACACACACGCACTTACGCACGTGTTCGGACAATGGCCGTGCAGGAT